TGTATGTGAAACCCACCTTACACACGCGCGCACACACACCCCCCCCCGAAAGCGTGTTTGTACATCTATGTGGATATATATAATCTAGTTCTGTGATTAAAATTATTATTAATAATAATCATCATCAAAAAGGTACTCGGTCTGTGTCAGAATGCTGCCAAACATCATCTGCAATTGAATTTTCAACGCCTGGTAATGTACAACACGGAAAGCTTCCAAAAAGACAAGACGGTTTAAAAACAGACTCACAACAAGCGACTACTAACCACTAGGAACTCCCCATCCGACTGATGGCTTTCAGGAGGAGGAGAAAACACACGGGTGGGTGCTTGCATCTGCAATGTAGAGTACTCATGCTGCATCGTGCGCAAGACAGAGGCTTCCGATGGGGGGGGGAGGGAAGAGAAAGTGTTTTATATACTTATTTAATATCCCTTTTTAAATTAGAAATTAAACAGATAATTTAATTAAAGAGTAGGGATTTTTCAGTATTCTTTGTTAATATTTAATTTCAACTATTTATAAGCCGTACCTCCTTTTTTTTTTTTATTTGTACTGGTTGTGTATAAATTTAACCTTCCTGTTGTCCCATCCCATCTCTCCCCAATTGTTGGCAGAGTCAGTAGCATGTTATGGGCAGTTATTTAATTAATTTCTCTAACACCTACCCCTACACATTCCTATTGAGACAAGAGTTAGATATACATCTACATACTATATATATATTTGGCTATGTGTTTGTATATATATATATATATGTTTATGTATATGTGTGATTCGGATTAAATAGACGCTACGATTTTTTTATATATGTAAAAAGAAGAAACAGGAAAAATAGAAAATTCTACATCTTGAATCTCTCTCCTTTTTAATTTTAATATTTGTTATCATTTTATTTATTGGTGCTACTGTTTATCTGTAATAATTGCGGGGAAAAAAGATATTAACACTACATATTGTGTCTAGTGAATTTTTTCAAGATATTCCTTAGTACATATTTATTTTTAAACAAAGAAATTACAGATATATCTTAAAAAACCGACGACGACGACGAGAAACAAACTTTTTTTTGTATTAAAGAATTTAATTCTGACCTTGATTTCCTTTGCCTTCTCCTTCTGCCTTGCATCCTGGTTTTCTTCCATTGTGTAACAGACCCTCCAGCATTGCCTCTGGAGGCTACAGGGCACCAGCAACCTGGCAGTCGGACTCTTGGATTTGGGCCCAGAGCCTCCAAAAACAGCTAGGTACCTAAAGCCCGTTGAAATGCATGGGAGGTAGGCACCAAAGTACTTGTGTGGAGCTCAGCCCGAGTTCCCCGCTCAGTGAGAAGAGGGTGGTCTGATGGGCAGGAATGAGGGGGCAGGACTGCTAGGTTCCTTCCCACTCTCTGATGCCAAGGAGCGTGGTGATCGTCCCAACCCTGCCTTCGTCTTGTCAGGAGCCAAGCCCCACGTGCTGGGCTCTGTAGAGGCATGAGTAAATGTGATCCCGGTGGAGCTTACAATCCAAAATGACACTGATGCTCTGAGCCTGCCCTTTGCTGGTAATGGATTTGGTGTTTGCAGTTGGAGCAGTGCATATGGCTCAGCAAGACATCACCATCCTGGACAACGTTGGACAAAGAACTGTTCAGCTCTGACGGTGCTCATCGCTTCATGAGGGATCTTGATACCGTTGCATGTGATGTGCTTTGGGGTCTTTGGGAGGAGAAGCTCTTTGGAAGTGGTGTCCTTTCCTCATCTGCCATGGAGATAAGTGTATCACGTGTCAGTCATCTGGCCACGCTGGAAAGGAGCGTATAGGATGTTCCTGGATGTCTGGGAGGCGACTCACCCGGGTTTATACATGTTCATGGCTGCCTTGGTCCTGCTTTTGTGAAGGTAAAGGATCTGGCTTTTATTTAGGGCGGACTTAGGTAGCTCAACAGGTGGATCTGCAGTCACAGCCTCTACAAAGGGCAGAGTGGAGAAAAGCGGATGAGTACTTGAGGAGGCTCTGGTTCATCTTGTTCAGTAACATCTTGTGGAGTGCAGTGGTGAGGTGAGAAGGTGAACAGGGGCCATCTGAGGATGCTGCTGTGTGAGGAACCCAAGGAGTTGCTTCCTTTGTATACTCACCACCGGTTTTTGGTTTGTGAGGATCTATGGGCTGTTTCGCAGATAGCTGTGCAAGGTGACAAAGACAGCAAGCCTATCCTCCGTAGACCTACATTGTCTCTGTGTGACCTGGATATACAAGTCATCAAATTGAAAAGATGGAAACCAGCAGGTCAGTGTTGCTCCCATGTGCTGAACCACAAAGACCTCTCTGGATGTGAAATCTCAGCATGAGGGAACCCAGGTCTCCCAGACGGATGAGGCAGCGGGTCTCTACTGTCAGTCGCAACACTTCAAACCCTGCCCGCTGGTGGTGAGCTGGGCTGGCTGCTCCCGGAGCCTGGAGAAGAGCGTGCTGTACTCCTCTCTCTTCGTGTCTCTGAGGACTTGGGAGAAGTAGGACATCTGCACAGCCAGGTGACCTGGTAGCCATCTACTCCATAAGACAGCAGCTGTGCCTAGCTGGATAGCATATTTCAGCTGGGATAACTCTACTTGTTCAAAGCATTCGTTTGCATGTGACTGCAGCAGAGCCGAGGTAGCTACCTGAAACCACAGCATTGGGAACCTGCCCAAGCCATCTCTGAATGAGGTACCTGGGGCCCAGGAAGCAGTCCAGCTCTTCTCTGTCCTCCAGGGTGGATATGGAGGGGCTGGGATGCAGGAGCATGGCTTCCCCTCACCCTGCCCATCCTGAGCCCATGTCTCACACCTGGCTCACATATGCCTCGTCCTGAGGTGAGGCGAGTGCACGTGGAGCGAGGCCAGGTTTGCAGGCTGGCACTCTGATCTCGGCACACAGCCTTTCATGCTGTGTGTGAGAACTTTCCTTCAAAGGCTTTTGGTCATGTCCATGTCTTGGTGGCTGGCTGATTAAAAAACTATCTTCAGGAAGCCACTGGTGCATTCCTTGTGCCTGCTTCATTTATTCTGTGGGATTCAAAGAGCAGAGGCACCTCAAGATGGAGAAAAGGGTGCCTCAGGCAGACACAAAACAAATCCCCGCTAGCAATAGGAAAAGGGTGCTTTTGGTTGGGAGCTCCTTCAGTCTTTCCTGTTTGGCACCTACTAGATGGTTTAACCCCTTGTTGCTAATGTCTTTTGCTGATGGTCTGGTCTGTAAGTCAGCCAGGCTGTGCTTGGTCTCCACCAAACACCTGCAGTGCCTTTGTTAGAAATGCCTGTAAAGCTTCTGTCCTCCAGTGTGGTCCCATGAAGGACCTTGGAAGCCCAAAGGAAATCCATCCCTCAGGCTATGTCCTCCACCATCTGCCCATGGGATCTTTGATAGTAAGAGATGGGTATTTTTATCCTAGATCATGCGGTGAGTGTGAGGGGAAGCCTCTCTGTGATTGGAATGCCTGAAATTTAAGGCTAATCCCAATCATCCAGCACAAGGCCTGCAGTCTGGGTCTATGCAAGCACCATGCTTGCTCCCAGTACTCCTTTTGGGGCTGGGCCAGGGTGGCCCCATGCAGCTGCTGGCCCTCACTGTACCTCACAGCATCTGACGCCCCACAGCACAGTGGGACTGCTGAGCTGCCAGCCTTCCCAGAGGAACGAGGCACTTGTGCCTGGACCTCCAGTCAAGTC